ACAAACAATTGAATCTTATTAAAATAAATTGCAGAAATTACAAGGGAAGAGAAATCTTAAACACAAGGCTTTATAGTGGCTTAGTCACAACTTATGTTTACTCCACTCCACAAGTTTGCTCTAGATTCAAAGCCTCTCCTTCCACTTTAAAAAGATTCAGTCATCATCATTGCCTTAATTGATTCTCAATGCTCTAAAAGATTTCCTTAATTCTTTCCTTGATTTCATTGATTTGTAAGTGTACTATGTGCAAAGATATGAATAACAAGTCAATTACTCTTCAATATTTCTACCTTTTCATTATTAATTTGTAATGCTTTATTTGATCAAAGTTAATTCCTGTACAATATTCTTAAAATGAATTCTTATAATAAATAAATGGCATCAAGTGGATAAATATAGATTCACACATTCCACTAAATAAAAAAAAGTTAATCATAATTACTATCATTGTCACTTAGGGTTGCAAAATTTCACTGTAAGTAGACATTGTGTGAATCATTTTCCTTATTTAATTGTGAACCCATCAAGGTAAGCTCTTTTTTTTTGGGTATATAGAGAGTCAACTGTTGCAGGATTTGAAACTCTAATCTTGACCCGAAATTAAGGTTTTGAAATTATTATGAACCAACTCAATCAAACTCTTGTTGGTATTGTCAAGACTCAAATGATAGGGACTGAAGTAAACCTTGCCGAAAATAAAGGTTTGAATTTTATCCATCCCCAATTGTTAGTAAGGAGCCTTATTATGTGAATGCATATATATGACAGGAAGACATAAGCCCGAACCCTCTAACAAGAAGACTTGATTGAGCAAGGGTCACCCTCACCACAACGTACTGAACCCATCAACATTGATTAGAAAAATTTGCAAATACCATTCAAGTGGGATTAAGAAATTCATCACAACTGCCAATGAGAACCTTAAATTGGGTTACTAATGTTAGGCTCTTGAAACTTCTAAAGAGACCTAACTGTAGCTTACTTCTTTGTCTTTTTTTTTTTTTTTTTTCTTGAACAAAGTGAAATGTGGAGATGGAAAAAACTCTCTACTTAATTTCAACCATCGTAGTTTTACTTGATGAAATATCTTTAACTTTAATAGTGAAATGGGTCATTTAAGCAATCATTTTCCAATGTTAATTCTTTCTCCACATCTTTTTTCCTTTCTGTTTCCTCTGGTCCAGTGTTATTAAAGGCGAACTAAATTCACACTCACACCACTGAAATTGCAATTTGTATTATTTTCTATAAGTTTCAGCCACCATCTGAAAAGACTATTCCTTATTGAATAGAGACACAACTTAAATCAGCCAAATCAGGCCTTAATTCTATCAATAGAATGGTTTGAATTTCTCTATCACCAATTGGGTAGAAACAATTCTAATAAGTCTTATTAGTTATTATGTGAATGCATATGTATGACAGGAAGACATAACCCCCACCCTCTAACAAGAAGACTTAAGCAAGGGTCACCAAAATGTTCTCAACCCAGCAACATTGACTAGAAAAATTTGCAAAGACTATTCGAGTAAGCTTAAGAAATTCATAACTACTTTTTTTGCAAGTTGATTAGCTCCATTCAAATTTAAATCCTTGAATCTAGTAGGGAACTTGTAAATAGCACTAATGCTTCTAGATAGGTATTTTTCTCATACTTGCAAAATGCACAAACCCACAGACACTTCAATTTTATTCATGTCATCATTCTATTTATGCAATTCAAATCCTAACAACATCCCTACTCCTTCTCCCAACTAAAATCTCACGCAAACAAGTCCTCAAATAAACAAAGGTAAACAAATGGTTTTTGTATATCATGGGAGGAAAGGATGATGAAAAACCATGAACCCTAAATAAAACATGAGTTACACATATCCTTTCCACAAAATCTTTACCATTCATCTGTTTAGATTAAGATTTAAATCGTGGTAAATCTGACTCAATCATTCATAATAGAGAGATCAATAGTCAAGATTTTGTGTAACAATTATGTAAGTGAATCTTAACACAAAACATACATACATACCTGCATTTTGGATCAAACTGGAAATGATTATTCAAACAATTCATCCAAACGCTAGTCCGTCAGCAGTCGGAGGTGAGAGG